TATTTTAGAGGTAGTCTTAATATTGTTTTATCCACCTTCGTTACGAACATATTAATGATGCACAGAACACTGCTTATTGTGTTCTAAAAGACTTACCGATGAGAATGGATATTAAGTGTATTCTATTTTTGCTGTCAGTATATACCTATCGTCGTACACCTTTCAATTTATTCGATGTAAAAAAAAATATTTTCTTTTTTACTTATATACGCTCTAATTTTAATTTTGAACGCGACCATAATTTTAACACAATTGTCAGGAAACATTGAAAAACATTTATCTTGTAATTTTTGACATATAACTAATTGCAAAATGATCGACGATACACAACTGTTAAAGAAATTAATTTTAAAGATTATGTTAGTCTCACATCTACGCGCGCTCTAGGTGTAAAAACTTAGTCAAAAATAATCAGTGAGAATTTCTTTATAATATTTTTTTTATAATTCCAGGATAAACTCAACGGGTGCCTATTTACTAGACGACGGGGAGAGTATGATAATATACGTGTGTCACGCAGTTAGCCCCGCCTTCCTATCAGAGACATTCGGTCTAACGGCCTTCTCCCAGCTGCCTGACGAGCTTCGCAGTTTACCGCGGGTCGATAGCGAGGGCAATGCGCTATTGCATGCCTTCATTGATAAACTCAATGACGACCGGCCGTACGCCTCCGATATACTTATATTAAGGTCAGTAGTATTACATATATATTATTCTTATAAGATATACTTTTATGTGTAAAATGAAAAATAATAATGTTTTGTGCAAGGATCCTATGTATTATTTATATTCATGTGAATTTGCCGGAGAAGGATTCACGCGAGACACAATGTGTTTTCTATTGTTTGTCATAGACAAGAGGTTAAGATATTGTGACATTTTTTGCAGTTATATAGAGTAGCATATTTTATAAAGTTGATATTCAAATATGTCATTTATATCGACAGGGACAACTCACCGTCACGGACGTTATTCACGGAGCGGCTCGTGGAAGACCGAGTGGAGTCCGCGTTCTCGTACTACGAGTTCCTACAACACGTGAAGAACCAAGTGAAATGAGGGGCGAGGGCCGGCCCAGTGCGGCTCGTCCGCGCCTACAGCTAGCTGCAGCTACTCGCGGGCTCCCGGCACTGCCCCAACTCTAACTATCCATTAGCACTTCTGGTTTTCGAGTTTTATGAAAACCGGTAGTAGTGGTATTGTAAAAATTCGCGTTATTTATTCCAAAATTGTCCGTTATGTATTGTGTATATTTATTGTTTGGTTACTGCCGGCCGGTCTCGATCCGCTCTCTCGATCAATGTAGAACAATAACATTAGACGAGTATTAGTATGAGGCTATAAATTATATTTTTGTTATAAAAAACTGATAACTTATTTACACTATGTAACAGATAACGAAAGAAATGCTTCCATGCTTCTAAATTGTAAGGAGGTTTATAGTTACTGATAAGTTTGTTAGGATAGCAAACAGAATGTAATTGCGTAGACAATAGTGTCAAGTGGGTACCAAGACCTATGTTGATCGAGTCGTTTTGGTTGCATACTCTTTGATATGAAAAAAGCAGCAGTATCCTTAACGGCACTGTAATATAATAAACGTTTATTTTCTTTATAAACGCAATTCTAAAGACAGTGGCCCAATTATAATAGTATAAACTGCAGACTTAGAGTCACGTATAATCACAATCGAGAAATTAGTGAGCAATTAGAGCGAGCGTCAGTATCGATATTTTTATGTAAACTCGAGCCAGAAGCGCTATTTATTTATTGTTTATGTAAAGAGATCTAGTGGTGTCGTTGATTTGTGAAATACATAATAAAGTATTTGTGAAGCTAGCGATTTGTTGTCGTTTAGGTTAGGTCAGCTCTGTAAGGTTTCTGTACGACAAAAAGTGTAATTATAATGCGCTAGAAATTGCGTTTCTTAGCAAAGCCGTACGAGGAAAAACTTACAGTGCGCGCCTACCCTGTAAAACAATGTACCGTCAAACTAATGTTTGTACAAGAACCAACCTAATTGCCTACGACAAAGATATTGTCCGCGAAAGGCATTTGGTCGATAGATTGTTATCGCGTTATGTTATAATACAAGAATGAGACTATGAAGTATATATCGGAACAATATTATACCCAATAAATAAACGTCATCCAAGTTGTTTTTAAAATATATTTTTTATTTCTTGGAAGTCTATTTTTATTTCGCCTTAAAGGTGGTTGGTTTTAACGGATTGTTAAACGATAGTGTAAAAACCTTGTGACGTGGATACAATACTAGATAAAGCAATAATTCTATAACATTCTGTAAGTTTCGAGGTACTGAAGCTCGGTAAATACATTGTTATTCAACAAGTGAACATATATTTCTAAGGGTTTCTGTGCGTGTATTATTTGCGTGCGTGGACTTTAACGGAACAAAACATGCAACGTGTCAAGTTTCGAAATGTTTTAATGTTAAGAAAAGTTCTCAATAGTAACACCAACTTAGATGTTTAGCCGGCGTCGCTAGTTTATTTTATTTAAAAAAGTATTTCGTGCCGCTATTTTGTTAGAGGCATGTTTTAGTTTCAATTCGTAGCCGGCGGTTCACGTAAGTTGGTGTGACTAGAACACGAATAGATTCCAAAGGTTGTTGTATATTTTGTTCCGTGTCGCTGACTGTATAACCGTAACCCATGTGTTGTGTACAAAATATTTGGTATGTTTATTTTTTTACATATTCGTAGGGCGTGGCGCGGTCGGGGCTTAGACGGCGTGTGTACTCCCCGTCGACGCCAGAATACATATATTTTTATTGTTAATTCCATGTTAGGTGTATGTAGTTAACTTTAAACTTGTATCTATTAATCATAATTCGATATTATTTCACCATTGTAAATTAAATAAAATTATTTAAAATTGTAGGTAGTGTGTTTTTATACTGAAATGAGATTGGTTGGAAAATGGTGGAAATGTGTATTGTGCAACTTGTGATCTATGTAACTTTACATTACTGTTTCTACTCTAATAAAGCTATAAAAATGTCGAGAGAAATAGCAAGCACTTTTATGTAAGCCTGCTTTGTAGTCACCTCACCAAATCTCTCGGTAAAAATGAGTATCTTATTACTCAAACCATCGTAAAATCTTAGCTTATTTCAGTTCAATTACGATGCGGATAAATACGATATGCAATTTCGAACTTTAAATGAATAACAATTAAGTATATTCGGCAACCACACGCACAATTAGAGCCTTATTTACCTGCATTACATGTTGCACTGTACGTATGTTTCTATAGTTTATCGGACGCTTATATGCTACCTTTGTTATTGGATACCCATTGTTTCATCTACATATTTCCTCTTGTTATGCAATTTGTATATAAAACTGGTACATTTTCATGTCTATAAGGCTTAAACTTGGGGAGGATTGAAGAACAAAATACAATGAGATTTTTCTTTTAAATATTTGCATGCAATTTTAATAATGGATTTAATTTAATATTATGTTTACATTATAATATATATAAACCGAAAATATATTGTTAAAGTATTTTATAATTTGATTTACTGTCGAAATCGGTACGCATTACGATGTCCTAGAGATTGCTGTTTTGTGATTTTGTTTATTGAATAAAAAAGATCTAGCTACCGATTTTCACGTCTCTATAATAAAGGATATGAACAGCTTTTCCAAATTGTCGTGCAAAGGAAAATCGAAAATTGGGCAGTGGAACATTTTGCAGCACTAGTAAAATACCTTGTTTTAGTCATTTTTATATGTTGTTATACCTTTGGGGGCTTCGAAATCCTTCTAAGGAGACCCTTATATTCTGGCGTGTGCCAAATGGCATGCGCAGAAGCTGTTTAGCAGATAAGACTGCCTGTAAAATGCCATTCCCAATTAAACTAAAAACGAATTATCTTGGTTACGTTTAATACTTAGCTTAACAAATTTTTCAGGTATCTGCCGCAAATTCAATTCTTTCAAGTTTCGTCTAAAAGTTAAGTTGGTCAGTATAGGTGTTTGTGCCTGAGTTGACCTAAAACAATAACTATTAGCTATACTAGGTATAATAAAATTGTTTATAAATAATGCCAGTGTGACTGACCACGAGAGGAACATTGTAATTTGTTTCAATACAAACAATCTGAAATCATAAGTGTTTCCTTTGATATCCCAAAGTTAATATAGCGAGTTACTCACGTGTTTAAACTAAGAAAAACTCACAGGTTAAAGGTATGAGCAGTAATCACCCTCCACTCTCCCTCAATGCGAGTTGTCGATTCCTTCGATTGAGAAAGTCAAATTTGTATTTGCAAACGCTCAAACTCGCACCCTCATACTTGAAGCGATCTCCTCAACAACTTCCACGATCTCACACACTAGACATACTCAGCTTCTTCATTCGTCATTAGATGCAAAATGTAATGAAAGCTAACAGTCCATTACAAATATTTTTTTCTATACTATATTTATACCTAATTATTTTGATATTAAAAAAAACATACAAATGAAATTGTACAGGGAGAACAGAAAAACAAGGCCTGTGTAACTTGAAACAATTGTTCAATACAACAAGGTATTATAATTTATAGTTTGGTATAAAAACTTACTAATATTATCCTGAGCTTGTATTTGGGTTATGGAAATAATAAAGTGTTTTCGTGCACATATTATACTGACATGCTAATTAATTTTAAGTTGAATAAAATATCGCGGTTTTATTAAGAATTGGTAGTAAATTGTTTTAGAGGGCGTTTTAAAATTGAGTGCTCTTTGACTATTTGAACTACCTTGTAGTAATATCACCTGCGTGGCTACGTGGTACAAGCATATTTTAAAAATATGTCTAGAAATATCGACAATGATGGTGCGACTAAACAGTACCCCATCGGTTGCCATTCAGACTAAATTTTCAACTTCGCTACATAACAATAAGATTTAAAACTAAATATTTTTATGACGGAAATACTGGATTTTGTGAATATAATTGATCGAGGCATCCAACCCTGATAATTACTTAGTACAGTCACATTCACGAGATTTACATTTTGTTCCAGTGCGAGCTCGACATTGGGAACAGTCGAGTTCTCCTTCTATAAACATACCGCAGCATTTTACACATTCCCTTGGACTAGCGCAAGTAGGATCATTTTTTGTGTCTGCAGGTGTCAGGAAATAGTCCTTCGGTCCGTACTTAGTTCTTCGGAAGAGCTGATGATTTATCAGAGACCAGAACCACAGGTACGTGCTAGCGCGTCGCAACATGGATGCGCACACTAAGACAGCTTCTACAGCCTTCCGAGCAGTCACATCACGATTGGCACACGTATTGAATTTCAAATTCTTTAAATTACATCGGAATACCTGGAAAATAAGTATATTACCACACAGTTATGGCAAGGGATTTCTAGGCCTAAAACTTCAAGTGTGGGAAGCCATGCTTCGGCACGAATAGGCCGGCTCTACCGAAGTCACAGTACAAAAAGAAGATATTGTAATTTGATTTCCGTAAGAAACAAAGCTTGACAAAATTTGCGGGGCAAGAGGGAATAAGACTGTCCAGTTTACTTGAATAGCAAAACTATCAAATTGTTATCTATGATAGTATCTACCTACAAGGTTATTTTATTATTGGTGTTATTGGTGTTTTGAAATAATCAAGTATTTATTTGTGAGTAAGTAGGTATACAATACCTACGTTCTCGTTTGTAGCCCTATGACCGACCAACTATTGTTTTAGACTTACCTAATTAAACGAGAATGCGCGAGAAAATCTTACTGGTTTTCTAAATAATAGGTACTAAGTAGCTGCTCTCGCGCGGTTTCACCCGCTGCTCTGCTCCATTTGATCGTAGCGTAATTTTTATAGCCTACAGCACTCAGGAACATTGTAGCTATCTAACACTGAAAGAATATTGGCAATCCGACCAGCGGTTCCAAAGATTACCCCCTACATACAAACTTACAAACATACAAACATATTCTATGTAGAATAACAAATTGTGGATTTCCAGCAGGCAGGAAACAAACCCGCTACAAGTTCGTATGGAGTCGGGTCCTAACCAATGATCGAACGAATCGCGCCTTTAGAATAATATTAGTATGAAGCCTACTATTGATCTAACTAAAAGTAATCTTACCTCATGTCCACATATTTCCAGCATACAATAGTTTACCCACTTCACTGGAACTAGCTTCACACGGAATCCTATGTTTTGGAGATCATCTGTAAGTGTAACATGTTTGATAGGTTGATTCATATCTATTAACTTGTTTCTGTTAGCGGCATTGCCAGCCTATTTGAGCTAAAATATTTCTCATTGTAACATAGGTAGGTACATCCATCTAAATATAGGTAGATCTACTTACAATTTTTCGCGTTTTTTATGGCATAGAAGGCAAACGAGCTTATGAATCACCTTAATTTTATAATAATGGGTCATAAACCTACTCTTTTCGCGCGTGTCGTAAAAGCCCACTAAGGAGATGTCTCCTATCCAACTATTATTACAAAGGATTGAAATAGGTAAAAATCCAACAATAGTAATATTATGGTTCATGGGAATCAGTAATAGATAATGCCAGCAGGCATGTTCAGCTGGGGTTGCTGGGCAAGCGCAAAAATGTACTGCAGCCTTGGCCTGGAGCAGGAGAAGGAACGGAGTGATTTTTAATCAGTAAGAGTCTGACACTCCCTCTTGTCCCGCTAAGAAAGAGAGAGGGAGAGAGAGAGAGAGATGATTTTCTGCCCTCAAAAAAGGTATAAAGGTATACAGACTTACTTTTTATTCCATACACAACTTGTGGCTTATGAATAAGAGTACCAAATGTTTCGCACGGCCCGTAGTATATAATGACATACAAAATAGACATTTCTCTGAATTAAATATATTATCTAAATAAAACTGAATTATTTATTTTATTTTATCTTGAAAACACAACAACACTGACAATATTTTTTTTAAACTTCAAAATATTAATTTTAAATTGTCATTGTCTGTGTATTTAGCATCATAGAGTAGGTATAAAGTTTTCCGCCAATGATGTTTAAAAAGTTTTTATTCAGACACACTTAGAACTGTGTTCTTATTCAGAAATTTTGTGACCAGCATGGTTTATAATGGCATAGCGCAGGACACGAATAGGCTGACCACCTGATGGTAATTAATTGGCGTCATTCATAGACACCGTATGACTTCTTTAGTCGAGGCTATGATGCGGAGTGAGAGGAAATGGGACAATCATATTTTTACCAAGCAGCTCGCAAAGAAGCAGGGCGTGAGGGCACAATCCGCTTTATGGCCTAGCCACCACAGTAGGCGACACTCCGGGCATTGGGATTACCTGACGATTTCCGACCAACTTAAATGAGGGTCTGCGGACGGCAAGCAAGGGTAACTATTGACCAGAAACAGATGCGTGCGCTCGCGCCTTGAAAACCCAATATACCACCTTAGATGATAGGATCCAACAGGACTGTTGTTCAGCCGGGGTTGTGGGGCAAGCGCAATGTGGCCCTGCGGCCTCGGCCTAAAGCAGGAGAAGGAAAGGGTTGGATTTTTTTTTAGGGGTAAATCATCAAGTCACTTCTCCCGCCCAGGGCCGGGCGAGAGGAAGTGTCATACTCTTACTGACTAAAAACCCCCCTGTTCCTTCTCCTGCTCTGGGCCGAGGTCGCGGTGCCTCATTGCGCTTACCCCGAAACCCCGGCTGAACATCAGCCATCAGCCCCGTCTGTAGTGGTCTATTGGCTCTTTGAGGCGCACGCGGAACGCTACGCGCCGTACGCTCGGAACGGGTGGGGTGTTTAGTCAGTAAGAATCAGGCACTTTCGCTCGCCTTACGCTGGGCGGGAGACGTCCTTTGAAGATTTTCCGAAAAAAAAAAAAACGTTATATTTTGTTTTAATAATAAGGGACTTTTTCCCACTTGTCCTATAAAATAAGTACAACTGGTTTATTCGTGCCGAATGGCTCTCCCGTAAAATGCTACCTATTACTGAGGCAAACGAAACCTGAAAATCTGAATCAAGAGTTGTATGTAAAAACTTTATACGAAAGGTTTTTCACAAAAATAACAATAAAATGTACATATGTCTTATTGCTGAGGATCGTATCCATTTTCAACTTTAAGGTATTGTAGATAGAATTTTCTCAAGTAGATTGGGTGTAGTGCGCGTCCGTCCGGCCGCACGCCACCCAACCTACTGACGGGAACATCTAGTCGCGACTGTATCGAGCCTGACGTACTAACGTGGGTACTTACCTCCCTACATTATTATGATACATCTACATCAAAACGATAGTCAGACTGACGTCACAGAAGTCAATAAAATTTCGTTTTTAATTGAAATTGTACTGACTTTAAAAGATACACAACAACATGTGCTTCCACACACTTTGTCGGATCTGAATCCGATCCGAAACCCGTGAAAATATGGTCTGTCATAGCCATCACGAATTTCAGGGTTCCAGATCGGACGTAGGGCGGAAGGGCGTTAATGTCTATTTACCAAGCTAGCCTTTGAATGCATATAACCCACTTCTTTTTTTATCAATATGTATATCACTTTCACCTTATTGTATACCAGTCAGATAGGTAGCAATTATACTAGCTCCGTGACAAGAACATCAATATCGAACAGAGTACTAATTCGGTTTTAAAATGACTTGTTTTTAATTAATAATCATACGTTTAGAAAACTAGACTACTTTAGCCTGTAGTTTTTGTAGTCAGCGTTCGAATTTTAAATCCCGTACGATCGTTGTTATTCTACCGGTCATTGGTCTTGTAACAAATAATGATAAAGGAATACTAAAATAATATTTCAGAACATTGACCCCTTTGACATTGGATACAGAGCCGGGTGTCAAAGTTATCTCTAGGTTTTATTGAATACAATATCTACAACATTATCAGTAGGTATATGTTTGTATACAACTGTTGGCTAGATTGTCTTACTGCTTATCGGAGAATCTTTTATTGTGGGTTTAATGGTTTGATTGTTGTAAATTTATTCAAGATTACAAGGAAGGAAATAGATTAGAAAAAACGTTTTACACCTATTTTTTCGTTTCATATGAACCGGCGTGAAACAGCGCTCACGTTTTGTTTCGCTGTGTTAGCTATTGTGTACCACGTGTTAGGTACCACGTGGTTAAAACTAATCAGTTCTAAGTCTGACACTCCCTTTCTCGGCTCAGAACGACAGAAGGACTTGGATGATTTCCCCCCATTTTAAAAGTTAGCGACTGAGTGAGGGAGGTTTCCGAAAGTCCAATCCTTCGCTCCCTCCTATCACCAATAATGAAATCCATAATCCCCTCTTAACTTTTCGTTACCATGGGCGGTGCAAATTGCTTAATTACCATGCTGACCCGTCTGTACGTTGGCTGATATATCCGATAAAAAAACCTTTAAAGTAATTAAATAGTATCTACTATTGAGTTACTTAAGGTTTAGAAAACCGATATTTTCTATTTGTTTTACCGACGACCCTATAAAAATCTCAGGGAGCCGTTGGATGCAAACTCTGGCACACTATGTTATAATTTTGCCTAACTGTAAAAAACAATAGATTTGGTAGTTTAAAATTATAATGACTTATTCTTATTTCTAAAAAAATACCTCCTTTAAAGAAATCTCAAATTAACTAGGTATATCATCTAATCAATAGATGATAGCATGATTAGTTATACCAGGTATATAAGTTATAGTTTGAAAAATGAAAATAATTTATAATTTTGACCTAAGGAACAATCTCATACTTCATGTTTAGTCTGTTATTTAATTGTTTGTTTTCCTCATTAGTTACACGATCTAGGAAACTTCCACCGCAATATAGGTAGATAAGTATGTCCTATAAAATTAATCTGTAGGCTAGATAACTAAAAAGTCACTGAGTATTAAGCTGCATTAGGATGCAAAAGGTATCAAATGATTATAGATATAGATACACACATAGGTACCTAGATATGAATTTACGGACGATGTCAGACAGAAACGTTTGAATTCCGAAGTCAAAAATTATTTAAGAAATATTTTTTTAATTCCGATATACATTTTTAAAGTTAATTAAATATTTTTCAACACACTTCTAAATATAATAGAGTTCTGTTTTTTAAATGAATGAATGAGTTATACTGTCACACTTGTGCTAAAATTTTATCTGCGAAAGGCTCAAAAAAAGAAACATAATTTTTTTGTTTATGGCTGATGAGCGCGCACAGGAAAAATTATTAATTTTTCCCGCCATTACGAAACATTTTCTCAAAAGACAACAACGCGTCTCATTTTCTAAAAAGAGGAAATGTTCAGTGCAGTTCTTTATATAAGAATTATTTCATTCGGAAGGTTGTGGGTAATCGTCGTATGATACACGTGAGGATGACCGTCATTTCACACTTGTACCATTATGTAGGTACTATTATCTACCTAATTATGGTTTTAGTGACTATGTTATTACTTCGTTTTTGCAAGTTTTATAAACTATATTTGAAAAACATTATACCTACCTATTCCTTTTTTGGCCAGTATTGCAATATAGACCAATCACAAAACAGAATTAAAAAGAAACGTTATTTTATTTTATGGTAGGTATTAAAGGTATTCAAATAAATTAGTTAGAATGTAGAGTGTAAAAGTAATACTTATATTGTAAGAATAATTAGTATAAATATAATGTTTAATTATAAAATAATCAACAATTACAATACCTTACTGATATTACTAAACCATATTATTATCATTATTTCAAATACGCGACTCACGTAACTGTTCAACGATGTTTGCGTGACTGAAAAATGCGCGTTTTATGCATATGAACTCCGATTGTGGTTCGAAAATAGCCGAGCAATCTCGAACACTTACGTGAGTTAGCATTTTAATTAAATAGCATCTCTCCCGGAACAAAAACATTAATAACTAGGCAGCAACGTGACTTTCTTTACTTCTCAGTCTTAATTTCAACGGTAATCCGCCTTTTATTGATTGCACCGTGTTACTTCCATGGTTGACTTCTAGATGGCGCTTTGTGTTGGCTGCTGGTTCCACGCTAAATTTGTGTAGTAATGCTGCCAATCCTGCTAAGGACTGCATCTCGCCAAGACGTGCACCTGAAGAGAAAAAAAAGACATTTACTGAGAAATCTGGTTAACAAAAACGTTCGAAGTAAGTATGTCCTTTAGTTGTAAAGAGGTCGAACTATCCTAAAACTTGATTTGCAATTTGCAACCAAAAGGGCTACAACTAACGCATTTGTTAAAAATCCAAGGCAACACACACGTAACTCGGGTATTGCGGGTGTCCTTGGGCGGCGCCGATTGCTTACCATCAGGAAAGTCATTTGCAGACTTATCACATAAAAAAAATGAAATTAATGTTGAATAATCTACGAATAATAAATACCTATAATAAATTATTATTTATTTATCACCCATATTGAAATAAATTATTATTTATTTATTATAATTAAAATAATAATAGGCGTTGTCGGTCATAAATTACATATAGGTGCAATATTAATGAGCTATTTTAGTTTTTGCATAACATGCAACTTCCTTTTTTGCATTATTCTGAAGTAAAATTGGATAAAAGGACTGCATTGTTTGCTTTTCAGGGAAAAGAAAGCATTTCAGGATATTTTCTGAAAAGCTTTCTCATCTGTTAAAAATATTTCTGTCTATCAATATACAGAGATTTCTTTTAACACTTAGCTTGTTATGATGCTGTTATAAGCAAGTGCATAAAACTTCTTTTTAATTGTTTTCGTGTGTAATGAATACGCATAAATAATGTTCTAAATGTTATATAATTTTGTACCGGATTGAAGCGCTTGAATTTCACAGTACTGAATAAAAATATATCATAATAATTATAATTTACTATATTTTTGTTCAAACTCAAACCTCGTTAGTTAGTTATTTAGTGTCTCGTTAGTTATTTTTTTAATGAGTTTTTTCTGTAAAAAAGACAAAATATAAAATAGAAAAAAAATACACGAAGCTTACCTTCATCCCGTGAACAAAATAAATTGTCCAAAATTTATTCTACTTCTTTCATTATTTTAACAATACTTTAACATCATAATACGAAAGAAATAATATTTAAAGTCTCATTTAATATTGTACACACACTCTAGTTCACGGTAGTAACAAGTAATATTTAATTAGTGAATAATAAAGAAATGTTATTTGTTGGTAAACTAGATTCATTAAATCGGATGGAATTATGGGACGGGCTAAACAGAATTTAAGTATTGCCGTGACATAAACATGAATACAATAAATGATTAAAAGATTAATACTCACCAATACACTGTCTCGGTCCTTCACCAAAAGGTAGGTATGCGAACTTGTGTCTGTCAGCAGACGTATCGTTGAACCTATCTGGAATAAACTCTGTGGGATTTTCAAAGTATTTCTCATCAACTTGTATAGCTTGCACTGGAATTATGATCTTCACACCAGGATCGAGCGTAATACCCATTTCTGGAATCGTGTACTTCTGTGCACACACCCTATGTAACGTGCCCAGAGAAGGAAACAGTCTCATGGCTTCTTTGAACCCATTACTCAGAGCTGTCATCTCGCTAATGGAGTCATAGCACAGTTTGTTATCATATTTCGCTAATACTTGATCAATATTCTCCTGAATCTTTCTCTGCTCCTCAGGATGGAACGCTAGCTGATGTAACATGAAGCTCGTTGCTGACGAAGAGGTCTCGAACCCAGCTGCAAAGAATACGAACACTTGTGCCACCATGCACGTTAGATCCATCTCCATTTCCACCTGTTCAGGTTTTCCATTAGCGTCTCTCTTCTCCACAGATTCTCCCACAATTTTACCTTTACTTTCGAGTTCCAACAGTAAGTCTATAAAGTCATTACGCCCAATGGGCTTGTAGTTTCTCTGTTTGCGAATGTTCTCCACGATCTCTGAGATAGAATCCATTATCTTAGTTTCACGTAAAGATTTTTGGATAATAGTTCTAAATTCAGGGAAGAGATCGTATAACGCAACGGCAATATAATTCTTCCATGTTCTTTGAAATATTTTTCTGCCCAGTGCTCTGAAAAGGGAGTGCTCGTCATTGATGCTGTCCATCTGAATGCCGAACCCACAGGCACCTATAAACTCAGTGGTGAAGCGAGCCATTAGCTCTCGAACGTCACAGTCTCCACCTCGGTTGACAATATCTTCGCCCACTGATTGCAACTTTTCCGCACACTGCACTACTAGAGGGAACATATTTTTCAACTTGGCCGTCGTAAACGTTGGTGTCAAACGCTGTCTCAATAACTTCCATTTATCACCGTCAACGTGGAAAAGATTAAGAAATACTGGTTCTTCCTTAGGGTTTCTTCCTATACCTCTTGGATAGAAGTAGGCAAAATCGACGTTTAGGATCCTCCTGACTACATCCAGGTCTCGCACAACAAGCTCGGGTGTTGTGCCTCTGTATATGCCGACCGCTGGTTCATTTGGGTACTTATTGTATAACTCTACAGATATTTCTGTGATGCTTTTCTTAGCTACAACGTTATCGTATATCGTTCCAAATATTGGCACTGGTTTTTCATATTTCACATTCCGCTTCTCCCAGTAGTCATGGTTTCTGGTGACATAGTGGTACAGCAGGACTAACACAAGTGGCAGAAGTAATAAAAACATTTTGCTTAATCTTCTTTATAGGCCAGAATTTGATGTTGGATCTATTTCTGTGCCGCTGTGCTTTCTTCGAATCTGTAATAAAATAAAATGATCGTTAATTTTTGTGTAAGTTTTTGATAAGCTACCTGACAGTACGACCAAGCCGATTGACTGTGGATGGACGACTGTAGCACTTCAGTATAAAACAAATGCCTCAACGGTATTTAAGTATTATTATCGTGTGAACTGCATTATGGCTTGATGTTCTAAATACGTGGGTGTAAAATGACACGCGTTGTTGGACTACCTATCTGGCTTATCTAGGTGACTATCATAATTAATATCAGTTAACATTACAACATGCACAATGTTATGAAGTTATAACTTTGTCTACAAAATGAGTGTGTTTGTTCACGCTATCTATTATTAATTAAAAACATAATAAAGGGTAAAAAGAAAGAAGTATTACATAAAATCCAAACGTAAAAGACTTGAGTAAAACTAACGCATTCAAAATGATCAGAATTGACGTAATTTAATTTTCGCATACATAGAAAAATATGTAATAGATAACTGCCGTCGTAAAAATAAAATGAAAATAAGTAATATGTATAATAAGCTTCTGCTAGCGACTTTGCCTACTGTCTTTCAATGACCATATTTTTTATTAATAACTAGCCCCCGCCCCCGCTTCGTATGGGTCCAACTATCTCGCTATCAAAGGGTCACTTTTTCCTACTTTTCTAATATTTTCTTTGATAAGAACCTTCTCCTGACAATAACAAAAAAGAATTGGCCAAATTGTTTCAGGCGTTGTTGAGTTATGCGCTCACCAACACATTTTGCGATCCATTTTTATATAATATATATATATGCAAAAAAGTGACACAAATCTATATATATATATATAGATTTGTGCCTGGAAAGCCAGCTTATGCAACAAAGTGACACAAATCTATCTAGATATGTTGTTCCAGAACCTGGTCTCTCAGGAACGGCGCCAATATCAATTATTTTCTTTAGTTTTGTGTTAGAAGGGTTTTTCGTATTGCGTTTGGCTTATAGTTCACGACTATGGTCTACAATTATTTTTTTATAAGTAATAACTATATTTAAATGCTGAGGTGTAATTACGTAGGTACCTCATTTTTTGTTAATTCTGTAAGTAATATTCGCTAGGTTGGTTTCTTACTGCATAGCGTTACCTATCTGTTGTAGTTCGTTTAGTTATTGTTTGTGTAAATATTACACGATCTCTCTAAATGATAATAACATGTAAATATACAGGGTGTAAAAAGACACTTACCGAAGCCGTTAACTACGCATACTGCAGTTCTAACTAAGTAGCTTTACGCTAAAATTAACACTGGGAAACGACTTTTATTTTTAGGTATAAAAAAAAAAAAAATATTGCGCGCAATGTAAAAAAACGGGCTTCGTGTCATTGTGTGCGTAGGTTCACAGCTTAGCATTACAACTCTGTGATATTAAGTACGTAGGTCGACGTTTTACTTCGCAACAACAAAACAATTCTGTAAAATAAAACTCCTACTGAGATGCACGATGTTTTTTGTGCGGGTCTGCATTTATTTATTACGTACATTACTGTTCAAATGCGTAATTTATTTAGAAAAATCGAAAATTCAGGTAATGTTTGTTTGGAAAAAAGTTTTATAATAATACTTAGAATTCGGTTGCGCAAAAAAAATGCATCTTTGACCTTCAATATCTCGAGAACCCATGGAGTCCCAGCTATTGTTTAAAAGAAAAAAATTATTCAAATAATGGGTAGAATACGTGGCTTTCGGCTTCGTTAAGTGTCTTTTTACACCCTGTATAAGTGATAGATAACTGCGTTCTTCCTTATCAAAGTATGTTGAGACAGGTACATATAGTTAGAGATATGAAAACTGTTTATAACGAACACGAAAAACTAGCAGTCACCACATAATTATTTAGGATAATGAAATATTCAAGTATGTTGAGTAGTTTTGCTATAGTTCTGGCTATATTTATACCGAATAAACAATGATATACGAGAGTGTCGGTTCCAAATCGATATTATGTATAATCAAAATATATGGTACAAATAATCTTCCAAATGTTTTTTAATTTGAATTCGTGTTAATCTTTGTACCTAGACTATTTTGATTTATTAATGAATTTGCTGTGTTATTTGAGAGGGACGTATAATTATCAAAAGATTCTTCGGCCCTAGATGGGGCGTGTCAGACTGTTTGTTACTGACTAAAAAGCATACCATTCCTTTTCCTGCTCGAGGCCAGAGCAGCGATGTGTCATTGCGCTTGCAATCACAACTCTGGTTTCGAGTATATGTAAATTTTCGATGAAGTTACTCGTTTAGTTTCAAGCCACATTAAGAGTCTCTTTGTGAATAACATATGCAACAATAGACGCGATTCTACGCGAGTTGCCTTACAATATAATTAGTGTAATAATGTATCTTACGATAATGATAAATAAAAACGTAGGTACTCGTATAATTCGTAGAGAAGAGAGTATCGAAACATAATGGATCATAAATGTTAGTGTGTTTATACAAGCAATATAGTTCTGTCTATCACCTTAGAAAATAATCGTGCAGTTATATCATATCAATGTAAAAGTCGGCAAAGTGAAAGACTGGACTTTGGACTCTATCAACGCGTACAAAAGTTACTTTTACAATTCTTAGTAAAAAAATACTGATAACATTTTAATAACTCATAGCGATTAATTTATGTAGCACATAGTTCATAAAAATTACGTTCTACATTCAAATTCCCTGACGAATTTGAAAAAAAATAACAGCTATTTGGAGACTGTGAAACATAGTGTAGCAGCGCGACAGTCGCCGAGTCGCGTGTCGCGGAATGTTGCTCATGAATACACGCCTCTAGCATGGCTTGAAACTAGTCGAGTATCTCTTTAATTTGTTAAATTTACATGAGTAAGCCGAAAACATAATAATTAATTTAGAATGTCTCACGAAAGTTATAATAAAATAAAACTGTGAAACATTAAAAGGGTTCATTTAAATAATCTGAAGATAGTGATGAAACAAAATAAATAATAATATCAGTAGGTACCAGTAATTAGGTGAATAGATATTGCTTAACTATACTGAGGAAAACAACGTTAATACGAAAATAACTTTTTGATACCAGTTTTCAAATCACGTATCAAAACAAGTACTTATATAGAATCTGGCTCGCAATTAATATAATTTAGCTAAATATTTAGCAAAGGGTAAATTGTTTTGTTGTTTTTCAATGGACGAAGTTTTATATTAAACGTAAGATTGACATAAAGTTTCTTGCTCGTTCATCTCCATTCGAAATAAACTATTTTGAAAATATCTTCAAAGTACAAAAAATGAGTTTCAAATGTATGTACCTGTATTTATGGTTTAGTTGAAAAAAATATTGTGACTTTGACATATTCCTTCGGAAATGCAAAAAATACTACTTGCTCGTCGCTCATAAAAATAAATAATTAATATAAAATTCAAATAAACAAGAGTTCTCTCATGCTAACATAAAACAAATAACCATATATCAAACAACAAAAAAACACGCACGAACAATAATTGGCCTGATATTTTAAAATAAATGGACGCGTTTTTCTCTTAATTTATTATGATAAATGAGTAATTGTTTTCTCATTATTATTTAACGAGACCCTATTTTACTTCGAGAAACTTAACTTTAAAATAGCTGTTATTTGATACCTGTTATTCGAATAAAAATTCACAAATCGTTGCTAATTAGTTCCAAAATACTATAAAAATCACGATGAAGGACATTATTTTGTGTACACACCAAATTATTACACGTACCTTAAAATCTGGATTCCAAGAACACATGTACTCGTGACAGATGCAACCAATATTGTGTCTGTAAGTCTGTATGTAGTGCTAGACAGTCGTCTCGACTTTAACTCTCGAAAACCTAGGCGAGCTCATTATATAGAACTGGTTTACGGACTTCGGACTTTGGACCCTTAGCAGTGACGGGTCCAAGATCGCACAGTTTTGTACATGTCATCGATGATGAGTGTACAGTAAAAAAAACCGGATATTTTTTAATTGATTTGCTTATTATACTTCATAGAGAAACAGAATTTTCTTTGTCTATATGTATCTACCTATAGGCAGAACTTTAGGTTGATTTATATATTTTGGTCTTTCAAATGTATTATTGTAACAGAGACATGAATGTGTGTCTTTGTCTATAAGTGCACACAAAATCTTTGGATAACTATTTTGGTTGTAAAATTTTGTTCTTGCTATTTAGATATATTTCGATACTTTATATGTCACCAGGTGGCGCTTCGTATGTGTCCCGGTCCAAACAGACTTAAGATAACACAGATTCTTAATTAACGTTAAATTTTATGTACTTGAAAGTATTATTGATTCTATAATGGCTGGCGCCTAAATAAAGGTTGCTGAACTATTGAACTCAAAAAGAGTACCTATATGTGTTTATTTAGATAAATAGGCACTACACAGCACTGCCACATTTTAGAAATTAATATTCCATTTGTAATTAAACCAAAATTATCGTCAAATATAAATTGCGTAAGTTCCTATGTGTTTTGGTTGACGACCGTGATATGGCAGCTTCGTAACATTTTAGGAAAGCCTCATTTTAATCGAGTGACAGATATTTGTGTTCTTGTCTACATATTTAGGCAAAATTTTTGTTAGGCCTATTTATTTTGGTTATATAATTTCAAATTTTAAGCTTGGAAACGTTCTTAGAAAAGGCATTTTGATTGGTCAGTACTTGTAAGAAGACGCCTTTTCTAAGCATTAGCATAGTTGTAGGCTTAAGACGATGATGGCTTGCTTCCTACGATGTCGTTATAGTGCTTCTATTTTGAGCTTTATAATGTTAGTTGATGTTTCTGTTAATAATTCCTTGTTTTCCTTTAATTATTTGATGAATTTTACACGTTTACAAACATACAATGACACATACACATGACACCCAGACCCGCAACAACAATTTGTGGATCACACAGTGTTGTTCTGTGCGGGAATCGAACCCGCGACAAGTTGCACGGTTGCCCAGTTACCGCACCAACCGTGCAGTCGAATAAGTAGTACCTACTTAATATTTACGCCCTCGTGTGTGTAGGTTTAATAATTATTTATATGTACATAGATAGAATACAATAATGTTTCCATTTCTATTTTTAAAACCCGTAGTTAATACCTCAGGTTAAGTATAAAAAGCAAATGTAACATTTTATAACAATAATATATTTTTTTAATTGGTATGTACTTTTGATAACAGCTGCCCTAAAAGTGTAATCCCAAACTCTAGACAATGATATGTGATTAACCTTATTAAGTTTCTCTCGTGCGGTTTCACCCACTGCTTGGTTCCTACAGATAGCCTATAGTCTTCCTCGATTAATGGACTAACGAACTCACAAATAGTTGTTCAATTGGAACCAGTAGTACTGGAGATTAGTCCGTTGAAACAAATAAATAAACAATTCAGGTTTATAATATTAGCTTAAGTGATTAGTACAGTTCGACATTGATGATCATTTCAGTATAAGAAAGCAAAACTATGAAGGTAATTATTATTTTTTTAAAGCGATTTGAATCTCCATTAATCATTCAATACTAGTTACTCAATCATCCTACCCTAGACCACAGGGAAAGCCCGTCTTATCAGCGGGTTATAATTATTATGAACAATAAATATCTACTCATTCTAATTTTATTATCTTCTCGATAAACTTGTCGTCAAAACATTCGTCTAATTATAGCTGAAAAAGGAATGAGGTGGTTTTTCCAGGGCGGGAAAAGTAATTTAATGATTTTTCGCCTCAAAAGAAAAAAACCTCGCTCATGTTTTGAGAACATATGTCATATCACTCGTATAATTTCACATATTTTTCATTTGAAGCAAACCTAGTCTATGTATTAATAGTACCCATTAACAGTACCTAATACATTTTGTTGATGTTTTCATTAAGGTAGTTTTGTTGGATGCAGTCGTGTATCGTGTCTGGTAGATAGTGTCCGTCTTATCACATCAAAGCATGTCTAAGTCGTTATTTACAATCAATTTTGTAAGTATATACCTACCTATTACAAAAGGTGCTATATTAAAATTTACAAAAAAAAAAAATGATTTATTAGATAACACACAAATTCTTTTATTTTATTTATTATTTTTTGACTAATAAATGCATGGCCAAATGCACATTATTGTAAGAAAAAAAAATATATTATATGTATATTGTATCAATTTTGTTAATATAATTATGTCCTGTTCTATCTCACAAATAAAATATTAATAAATGAATTATCACAACGCTACACATCCATTTATGTACATACATACCTACATATACATATATCAAATACACATCACACTTAGAAGTGACCGTGAAGCGAAGAAGTAGATTATTATAGATACACAGACTCTTTTACAGATAATATTCACAATAGAAACACAAATGACAGCACAAACATACATTATTTGTTTAATAACAAACACACGTTTTCTAGCTGTGTTCTTGTCGTTTGCTCTATTTTACACAATACCTACATTCATTTGTGAAAGCCAACCCACTTCGAAACCAGACTAGAGACGCACAAAAACATTAAAAAATATTTAGGTATAAATATATCTTTGCTATAAATACATTTCTCTGATTTCCCACAAACCCTTAGGTTGACTGGCAGAGAATGCCATATGGTATGAAGTCCGCCTTATGTAACCTTTGTTTATTATCTGCACATTAAAGTTAAAATAAACAAATAAATAAATCTATTTTTTACTTACCAAGATTTGCCTCAAGTACGCGAAAATTTAATACATGGACTATGGACTATTGAAATACGAACGCGGGTAATACGGTCGGCGTATCAAACCGGACTGACAAGTAAATAAGTATTACTTAAGTCTAAACTAAACAGTAGTATGATACTTTATCGGCGCGTGCGCTGCTGGTCATTCATTAGCGTGCCACCTGTCACCACATGTCATTCATCGTTAATAGTATTATAATTATTATTTAAATTAATTAAATAACACGCGTTTTGCATCCTTATTATTATATAATTATTTATTAATGATTTCGATGTAATTCGATTGATGATTTTTTGTGTCTCTATAAAGTTCAGTGCTTTGATAAGGAATCTGACCCTTTAGGGTACGATAATATTAAGTACTTGACTAAACATTACGTATCTATATTAATATTATAAATAGAAAACATACAAGACAAAAAAACACAATGGCTGAATAAAAGTTAAAAAAAATATATAAGGTCTTTTTCAACACACTTTCTCATAAAATGGCTCTAATCCTATGGCAATAAGGCACATGATATAATGACACCTAATATCAAACTGGGACTTTTCATTACTATTTACGAATGAGTTTTTTTATATTATTGGTTGAGCTACGATTACACTTGCGCTAAAATGCTACCCGCGAAATGTCCAAAAAAAACATTTGAAAACTGATTAATTTTTTCCGCCATAACGAAACATTTTTCACAACTCGTCCCGTTTTCTCTTTTGAAGTTATGTATTTTGTTTTTTTGTTTTAGAGTAATTTTATTCAAAAGCGTGTGGAAAAACGTCATATTTTATGATACACGTGAGCTCGATGCGCCTCAGCGGTACTTAATCACCAACATTACGCACTTGTAGGTACACCATAATAATAATGGTACGGTACAGGTGAATAAAATTATACTAATTCATACTGACATTTACAAATAGTGATGTTTGTCGTACATAATACTTATATTTGTCATAATACGTAGATCGAGGGATTGGAACAGTTTGCCGGCTGCAGTCTTTCCGTCCGAATACAATTTAGGTGTCTTCAAGTCTTCAAGGCTAGTGTGAATAGGCTCTTAATAAACTAGTGCGCCTTACCATCAACGATTGCATCAAAAAAAAAAATAAAAAAAAAAATATAGACTTAAAAAAAAACCTACAGAAAACGATAAATATTGGCTATTAAAAAAAGTTTTTTTGAATATTTCTAACTATTGTGTTTTAATTATTATACGTCCACTTAGTTTGATGCATAAAATGCAATATGATTAATGTTTTTAACTTAGCTCAGCTGTTTATTATTGTAAGTATCTATTTCTGATTACCTCTGGAACAACAAGTTATGGTGTAATTGCTAAATGTGGAGGATGATAAGATAAAAACTTATATTCTCTAAAGGGCGCATGTAACACTTACACGTTAATTTAAAATGAATTTTACCTTTTTTTTTGTTATGTAATAGGTCGGCAAACGAGAAGACAAATTACCTGATGGTAAGCAATCAGCGCCGCCCATGGACATTCGCAACGAAGGAGTTAAGAGTGCGTTGCCGACCTTTTAGGGATTAGGGTTTTGGAGATTTAGGGATTCGGGGGGAATCGGGGGAGGGGAACGAGAAGGATTGGGCCACCGGTAACCTCACTCACACGGCGAAATACAACGCTGTGGTTGTTTCACGCCGGTTTTCTGTGAGGCCGTGGTATCACTCCGGACAAGCCGACCCATTCGTGGCGAAGCATGTCTCTCCCACACTTAACTGGACAAAGTGCGAAGACATCATGAGAGAGAATCAAGATAACGGTTCTAAATAAAAAAATACTTCTGGGTGTTTAACTCTTAATTTCTGAAAGGTAGAAAGATTACAGAAAGTATAAGTATTGTTATAATAATTTCTCTTTACTAGTTACGATAATTATGCGCACATTATAATATTAAGGAAATTCTGGGCACAGCTTCAAACTTAGTTATACTACTGAGGAATTTTGGAAATTAAACCAAATAAACCATTAAAGAGAAGTTGCCTCTTTTTAATCGGAAATAACGTTGAAATACATTACGTATAAGTTACAGTTATGAGTTACACTAAATTCATTCAAACTCTTATTGTTCACAGTGTTTAAACGTCTTCAATCAATCCCAGCACACGTAGCGGAAAAACAGTGAAGCTTTATGACTTGATCTAGTGTTCTATGTTTAGGTGGTTTAAACAGATTACGATAGATGGCAGTGTTTTCAATAACAACTTTGCAGGTGGTTTTATCCTACCCTATCCACTGCTCTTCTCAAACTCTTCGAATACAACTCCAATACGAAAGTAGCAATGTATCCATTAGGCAGTTTCATACCCACGTACCTACGGAAAAAGTTTTAGTAAATATTTCTAGAGTTTATCCGACATAGAGTCTGGAAATTATGGTGGTTTTTAGTCCCTTTGCCTGCATTAGTAAGGTTAGCGTAAGATTCGTAAGAGTAGTTATTGCACAGACGCACAAACACTTTTCATACTCTAAAAACGACTAATTAGAATACTAGGTAACATAGACAACATAGAGAGCTGCAAACCCCATTTCCAAGAACTCAAACTTCTAACATTACCTTGTATATACATCCTGGAAATGTGTGTTAGAAATAATGAAAAACTTTACATTACACGCGAAAACACATAGACTCACTACACCCTACGACACAAAAATAGACTAATCCTAGCAGGTTCTAAGCTAAAAATACACTCCACAAGTAATATAATGTATTTGTACTCAATTAGTTATAAGTTATATAAGCCTACCTACATATAAATAATGAAAAATTGTAAACATATATTTATACTAGCCCTCCTCATAAAAAAATACTAATATTGTTATGCCCGACAGGGCCCACAGTGCTCCTGTATAACTAATATAAGTACCCTTATGTACCCTACCACCTAAGTTCACATTGTGGAATGCAATAAATATATTGAGTATTGAGTATTGAGTAGGAGTTGAATGAGACCTGAGGAAAGGATGTATTTCAGTAATCTCAGTAATGCTTGTAGGTCAACGTATGTTGTCTCCGTGTCGCTACATGCCAGTCATCCCCTGACTGTTTATGTGCAACTGCATGTATCAATATTGGTCAGGAGTTGGGGCCATAGTATTTCCATCGTTATCTTTTACCAGTCCGTAGCCACCCACACCCATAACCATACAATTTTCTACCATATTGCATAATAGTCCTGCGTCAGCCCGGGGATTGTCCTTGGGTGTACTTTTATAGTGCATACAGGGATAATTGCTGGCTGATGTCCTGAACTGTTCAACGGATCTCTATGGGTTGATTTCGGCCTCTCGTTCCAAAGATCCGGAATGCTGTGGTCCCGTGAAAGGAAAAGTATTTTTCTTAATATTGCGCCATTTCGACACTAGACTGCGCTGTTACCATTTCCAACTTCTCAAATCAATTCTCAAAATAATTGGGTAAAGGCACGGTGCTAGAGAGGTAGAGAAAGAAGAATTAAATTGTTACTAAAATGATTACAAATACATGTCAACTGGAATACAAGACAACATCACACTTGGCCCTTTAGATGAGAAATTAGAGCAAAGCAATATTAATTTCATAATTTCACATACTATAATGTAATCGGCTTGACTATCCTTTTAATAAAATAGTACAATTGCCGTATTACCATCATTAGCGACATCTGCGCATGACGACAGTTTTATGTTGACAGATCTGTACAGATTTACCGGCTCCAACCAGAAAAAAGGCTTGCAAAGCAATAAAAAGTTGATTCACACGATTTATTTAAATAACACATTCGTGATTTCCCAGAGGACTCCCAAAGACGTAATGTGTGCAAATTGGCACGACACTGAGCTATTTGTAATAACATTATCTAGATATTTTTTTTATTTTCATCTCAGTGCATTTTATATTCTAAAAATATTTGGCGACGTATTAAATTAAACACCCGTTTTTCGAAGCGTTTGAGTATGTGTGATATTGCTGTTGTAAGATTGCTAGAAACTATGTTCTGGCAAAAAAGTCTGAAAACATGATACCATCCTATTATATTTTGATCTATGGATAGATGGATACTATTCAGTAAAGGATTAAAAATCAAGGGCTAGAAAGAGAGACGTGTTTCTTGTAGCTTTGATATGTTTTACTCATCAAAAACAAATGCTTAAGACGAAATTTTATTATAAATTAAATGATAATATTAATTTGTTTTTGACCAGTCTATGAAGTATTATCAGCAGTAAGATCTAATCAAAAAAATCAAAGTGTTGTTGAAATACCCTATGTGAAGAGAGAGATCAAAATATAAACATTAATAATAATACGTAACTAATAAGCCCGTTTCATTAGATTTAAGGTATACGACTCGATGTTAAGAAGATGAATTTAAAAAATGTGCTTAATTAAACGTGATATACCAGATTGGCATGATTTTGAAGAGGTCTCGTCTCTACCTGGTCAAGTTTTTTTATCCAATTCAATATTTTTTTATCTGTCACCAAATCGTCAAAACCCCTTTCATACGACGCCAATTGCCGATTTGTAGTTAGTAATCTTGGAGAGGCTGAGAAATCACTTAGAAAAATATTTTTGTATTAAAGTTTGTAATGTGGCTGTTTGTAAATGGCTTTATATTACATTGATTGAAGACCTACCTTCACTTCTATTACGCAATTATTCTGCTGATGATATTGAACGCAGACGAAGCGGGTTTATTTTAAGTGTCTACCCGATAAAACTTTTACCTTAAAAAGTGAGTCTTTTCATGGCGGGAAACTTAGTAAAGAGCGCATTACAATACTTCTAGGTGCTAACATGTCAAGAACTGAAATCTAAGTCTCCATGATGTTTCAAAGGTATTAAAACTTTGCCTGTGAATTGCCAAAATAATAAAAAGGCGTAGACGACAGCCATAATTTATTCTGCTTGGTTGAAGAATTTACCTCTTTTAATGGAACCCTCTGTAAATGAGACAGATATTTATTTATACATGTATATCTGAGTCACTGGGTAATTGCAATACCTCTATAAGTCGAACGACATTGCAAGTTCCTTGAAGTCTCACTTAACCAGGTTTCACTATACATGATAATGTATTATTTTCTCCAACCATATTTATCGTACTGTAGCACATCACGTACATGTCTGCAGTAAGCACTTAAAGAATGACTGGCAGAAAATACTTTTGGCATTAAGTCCTCCTTTGTACACAACATAGTAAAAAACAAAGTCGATTTCTCTGTCCTTCAAATGTTTTAAAACTACGGACCAGATTTTGATGCGGCTTTTTAAAGATAGAGTGATTAAAGAGGAAGGTTTATATGTATTACAACATCAATTAAATATTAGTTTAGTATCAGCACTGATGTGAAGCCGGGGTCCCTAGTAAGTATAATTAAATGAATAATGCCACGTGAACCATTTAGGTTGTGTTTTGTACTTAAGTAACCAAATACTGTATTGTTTTGAACCAGAAATTCTTGTTGAAACAACAGTTGAGAGGTGCTGCTATTCAGAATGCGGTGTGATGCTTATTGTTTTAGTCTATGAGCGGTACAGACAATGGAGATACAGTTTCAGCAATTGTTACCTTAATCACTAACTATTATTGCGTCAGTTTACTTAAATTTGGAAGGCTACAAGAGAATGACGGATTTTTGGCCTAGGTATCGTAATTTTTCTTTATTCTTTTGTTTTTTAAATTTTCCAACTGTTTTTGTGATGTGTGAGTGTTTGATAGTTGGCGCCACTGAGACGTAAAGTCGTGCTAGTGACCGTAGCCGTCAGTTATTAATTATTGGATGTCTATTCAGTAAAATTGGCTTATACTTACATCTAAACATCTAACGGTGAAATCTCAGTTGAAAAAAACTTGGTGTTTTCTTATCATCTCAATTTATATCTTCAAAATATATAGTGTCCAAACCATTTCAATTCTGTGTAAAAAGGAATAATTTAATTTTTTTCTTGAAACCATTTCAATCACAATACATTACATTACCCAACATAAAGTGTTCATTTAAATGAAAAATCGCATTTAAATAGTCTCCTTGAGTTCTACAACAGTTGGTTGAAAAGCGTATAGAAGTGAAATTATTATGATTCCGAGGCGAGCGAGCGCGGAAGTGGCACCTGAGTTATGCGGACGGTCCGCTTATAGAGCTTCTACGTCTTGTGCCGTAGCAACATTGTAAGAGAAACAAGACCTTTATTTATTAGATACCTGGTTAGTGAAAATACAGGTTTATAAGTTTACAGGCTTTGAGTTGTGTGAAGCACTTTAACAAGTAAAAGACGCGGAATGTTTGCATCAATTTGATAAGCAACGTAAATGTTTTCAGGGAATTGGCATTGTTTTCAGGAAATCGTTTAAGGGCATTAGGAAGTACTCAAAGCGAATACCTTAATTTAGTGTTTTAGAAAAGCATAAGCAATAATTATTTGCCAGGACACATACAAAGATAACAAAGATAATGTATTAATAATAACTAAATCGTTCATTTTTTAACTGAAACTGGGACATATTAGTCTGTTAATATTAATAGATTGGAACATTGGATTCTCGTACACAAATAAACACAAGCGAAAAAAAAATACAAAAAGCCCTTCATTCCAACCAAAAACAGCATCGCAAGCATTGTAAACAAAATAAGCGTCACCATAGCGCTAAAATAAACTGTGGAATGCCGGATATTGCAATCCCGGTCCGACACGGGCTAAGGACCGCGTACAGGTGCCTTCGTCGACTCAGTGCGCCTGAGCATTCACACAGCGCGCACGCACGCTAGCTCTCCGAAAATCCACACATCGATATTAAATACGATATATTACACGATTCAAATCAAACTCAAGATAAAGAAAATGAAATAAACGTCTGCAAAGGATTTGAAGCTGGAAATTTTAAACAGGACGATATTTAAACAGTGATTAAAGAATTATTCACAATCGTGAAAAAGGACATTGTGAATTTATTTTAATAGTGGATCGCACGAAATATTTCGTGGACAAGATAAAATAATTGTGAACATTATTCAGTGATTTAGCGAAGACTGTGAATTTTATTCGCAAATAAATAGTGGTGGTGTGGACTGTGAAGTGAGAAAATTTTATTGAAATCAAAGTTGTCGAAGTTTGGTGTAACATTATGAAAGTCCTGACCGTCTCTGATAAGGTTGCGAGTGTAGGAAATGGGAACGAACCAACTGTGGTCGACACGCAGATCCTGACTAAAGAGGAGCTAAACAAGTAATTATTGATTTTTCTCAATTGGTTTTGTCTTTGAAATTTTTCTTAAAATTAAAAAAATAAAGTAACATTTCTGTGATTCGAATAAAGTTTTTAGGATTCTCAATAATGAAACAATGTAATGGTAAGAAATAAATGAAAAAATAGTTAGTAGTAGTAATATAAATACAAACGAAAGTTTTGCTTTAAAAGTAAAAAAAATGTAAACGTTTGAAGAAAGAGTCTTACATAGAAATAATTCCAAATCGAAAAGAACTTGAGAGTTCACAGAAGTGTAACATAGCATTAGCAAGTTCGCTAGGTCAGATCGGTTGGCAGTCGTCCAGAATGACACAACCGCGCGGTATGCGGTGTTTACGTGCCTCAGTCGGCGTGTTGTCGTTATTCGGGTCAGGATTGCTGTAATCATGTTATGATCGTTTTTCACTTCTATTTATCTGATATTGATGAAGATTTGATCTGTTTAGTGGACCAACACACATTTGCAGTAATTTGATAGATTGGTCAAGGTTGAAATTCTGTTAGTATTCGAATATTTTATAGTTTTTCATCTTTGAAATCGTGACTAAACTTTAGCCGATTGTTACAGAGGATGTCCTCTTGGTGTATCTCGTGTCACCTCATTTCTGTATGTGTGTGGAGCCCACGCATTGCCGGGAGCAGTGAGAGCCCTGCACCCTGGCCTCATCGTCAGCGCAGCCCCTGAGCTGCCTCCTCCACCCGAAGACTATGTTCCCAGAAAGTTCGTGCCACTTCTCGATACACCTAACTCTGATATGCACCCCTACATGGAGAGTGTAGCTGACCTGATTAATGAGGTGAGATTTGATTAGAATTTCCTCCTCAATTTATTTTTGTTGTAGCTTAGTATTCCTTGCAATTCATGATTGCCCTAGATTATCTTTGTTTATACTACAGATTCCAGGCCCGGTAATGTTCGGTAGAGTAAATATTATCTTTTTCGCTTAAATAACTTCACTACATGAGATGTAATGGTTCTGAATCCAGATCTGTTGTTTAATGATCTTAATTTTCGCCAGGTCATCTGCAATGGAGATGTGGTGCTGGTTCATTGCGTTGCTGGTATATCAAGATCCGTAACTCTCTGTTTGGCGTACCTCGTGAAATGGCAGAAGATGACCTTGAGGGATGCCTATTATCATATGAAGCAAAGACGGTGAGTAACATCGCTAACATTCTTAGATCGCAGACGCTGTTCTACTATATCATTTTAAAGACGTAATTTTTCGGGTAATTTGAATCGTTTTATGATTTCCGTTAACCGTTTTCTAGACTTTTATTGATTTTTTTGATGTTTTCTTTCTTTCAACTTCTTATGTTTTCGTTTTTGTTTCAGGCCACAAATCCGACCCAACACGGGTTTCTTCAAGCAGCTAATCAAGTTTGAAGAGAGGCTTTTTGGGGAACCTTCAGTGAAGATGGTTTACTGTGAAGCTATTGATAAGGAAATACCTGATGTATACGAGGCTGATTATATCGGGATGACTTGGTTCAGGCAGAGGTACGGCCCCATCGAGAAGAGCTGAAGTGTGACTGAGATGTAATTATTTAAAAGAAAAGGATAGCTGTGATTACTTTGTGCGGAGATGAAAGGAAGGGAAAGGCAAGAGAAGATGAATGACTATAAATATAAGACTGAGTGAATGAATGATTTGGGGAATGAATGTGAGAGTCAGTTCCGATATTACGAGTATAAAGATTGGGTGTTTTATTGTACAGCCGATGCTAATGTATGAAAAAAAGGTGAATATTTAAGTGTTCTTTATAAATATAAATTTACTTGTGTTGTTAATACTTTTGTATTGTAATGTAAATTATTGGCTGATAAAAACGCAAGCATGCAATATACGAATGTAATTTACTTTATGTATAAGCAATGTGATAATTAACTTATTGATATAAATTAACCATAAGGTATTCGTTTACCATTGAATTGTATAAGATGGGACCAAAATAAATAAGTGGATAATTTTTATGCGTGGACTTTTTATTTTTGGAACGTATCGTGTCGATATCAAAGTGGATGTAGGGGAAATAGTTAATATCAAAAACTGTTGCATAAGTTTTGAAAAATATTATGATTAAAATGACCTAATTGCAGTTGTAGTGTAATGAGTAATTCATTGAATGAATGTTGTTGGCCTCGTGGCATTGAGCGGGAGTACGGAAATATCCCAACAGCCGGCGAGTGCCGCCTCCAGAAATTAGCCGCAGAAGGTTAGGTTTGAACAATCATTTCCAGCTGAAAACAGTTTCCAATAAAATTAAGGCAACGTACCTACTTAGCAAGAAATTTGATTGCGTGATTTAACTTTCTTTAAATTGTTCATGACAAATTGCTTGATACCAATTACTACTTACGATTCAATTGTTCTGTAAATTGGAAGTTAAGCAATTGCTTACTGCCAATATCATATCAAAACTTGTACGAAATTGTAGGAAATAAAGGAAAATGAATTATGTAAGTCGCTGGTAAAACTTTTTAGTGTAATTTTTGGTTCAACATTAATTTAATTTTGTTGTTGTACCTTCTTCACAATACCTGTGCGACGAACAATGGTCTGCTAGCTTCCGCATACTGATGTAAGACTGTGTAACCGTTATCTCCTCTATATTATTCGTCTCTGGTATGTGTGGCAACCATTTTGAAGTTTCTATTGCTAAATTATTGTTAGTATCTCGAGCACTAGCTATTTTTATGGAAGTGGTACCAAGATTTTGTGTAATATGATCAGCAGGACTATTATATTAAAGTATTTAAAAATATTTTTTTGATTGTGATAAAGGGAAATACGCCTACGATGGGCTTACGATTAATAAACTTTCCCTAGCGATACGAATGTATATCTGTAATATGTTAGTTTACTGTCAGACGACAGTTTACATGACTCTCTTGAAAAATGTCAGCGTCACTTAGTTCTCCAGTTGACAACGGACATTCTCAGACGATTATACAATAATTTTTGTGAAAATATTTCATAAAACCAATCGAATAACTTTATTTATTTTTCTTTAAAGAAATGTGAAATTTCAACATCTAAAAAAAATTCCACGTTCCATTCCATCGTGTCAGTTGCCTTTCCAAAATCTAAATCTCTTTTAGGGGTACTTGTGTTTGGATGGGAGCCAGAATACATTACGCTGTCATGTTTTTGACGGATAGCTGGTTGCTCCTCAATGATAATACGATTGTTCTAAATACTAGAGCACTAAGGTAGGTATTCGAGTAAACAGTTTTTTGGCAAGTGATGGTATCCATGACAAGGTGTAGGTTGTCCGGTTCCAAGTTCAATGTTACTGGTAATTACCTCACGTGAATGTAATTAGAAATATTTTTTTTTGGTTCGGCTGAGCTGTTTTTACTCTCGGGGTTAATGAATAGTGTGGTGTAAAAATAAACATATAGCAGTTGTTACAAGACGGTTAGTGTGACTATATTTATAGTCTATAATAATAGTCTGTGGAAAGGTATGGGGCATTGCTTTTTTTGGCAGTAAGAGTATGGCTCTCCCGGTCGCCCCGCTTAGGGCGGGAGAAGATCATTGGATGATTTTCCCCTATCCAAAAAGGTACGCCTTTAGTCCTGTTGTCTTGTAGAAATGCTCAACCGCATGTTGCTACGCAAATCTGTAGTTTTTGTAATTTTTAAAACAATTTCATTTAAATAAATATACCTACTCATATTATATTATTGTCCACTCTGGCACTTTGCCTTTGATATTGTTTGCCTTGACCGTTCTTTGGCTTCTCAGAATTGATACAAACGTGTGAACTGCCAAAGTCATACTTTTCTATTTTACAACACGCACTTTATCCTCTTCTAAGAATTACAATGATATTTATTTGTAGCAGTTTCAACAACTTTGATAAAAATTGTGTCTTTGTACAAATTTTCAGCTATCGACAACTTGAGAAAAAGATCTCATCATCATCAGCTTATAAGTGTCCACTGCTGAGCAAATGCCTCTTCTTACACGGAGAAGGTTTGATCATTAATCACCACGCTTGCTCAATGCGAGTTGGCGATTTCAAACTTATAATTAGAAATTATAAGTCCAGGTTTCTTCAAGATGTTTACCTTCACCATATGTCAGTGGTGTCTAAATAATCATAGAAAGTACATATAACTCGGATAAAGTCACATTGGTACTTGCCAGGTTTAGAACCCACACCCATGAGCCCACATCATGCAAGAGAAGCGGGCTCCTTAACCTCTGAGCCACCACGCTAGTAATATAGCTATATATATGTAGGTAGGTTGTTATAATCTTAGCAGCACAATGAGCATTTGATTTCTGATATTGTGAAATACGAATTTACAATAGTGGAAAATAAATAATTGTTTAATTTATTGATCGGGGATTTTTATTGACTTTGGTTTATTTTGCAGAGAAAATTAACCGAAGACTTCACCCGCCCTAGGTGGGTCGAGAGACTGTCAGACTCTTACTGACTTCATAAAACCAATCCGTTCCTACTCCTGCTCTAGGCATCATTGCGTTTGTTTGGGATTGCGGTCCAAGCGGCAAGAGAGCTCATTTGTTTAATTTGATTTTACAAGACGACCGAACGGGGTAACGTTTATAGCTTGATTATTTTAATTCTGTCTACCTACTACTACTGAATGAGCACAAAATGAGACGCACTTTTTTACGATTCCCTCTTTTATGTTATGTTTTCTAGTACAATTGAAAGAAATATCACTGTTCCAATTATTTTCATTACAAATGTTGTTGCCTGATATAATTCTCTTGACAAGATGACCTAGTCTGAGTACATAACTCGGACTATACATTATATAATGAAGTTCCACTTCCAATTGCCGCTTCTTTGTTTTGAAAAACAAGTTTACGCCACGTTAACGCACGTTTTTGCAATAAAAAATAACCTATTTATTGAGAAAAAAGGAGATTATGAACTATTGTTATGTTAATTTAATCGAGATTAGTTGAGTAATTTTGATGTAATTGACTAAAAGACGTACTGAATTCTACATTCAAACCGCAGTTCTACTTCTAAACGCTATATTGCTGTTTGAAGCACAATTTGAATACTGTGTAATGTTTGATACACTCGTTGATTCCTCTAGTTCTTTACATTTTACATTCACCATACCCGACAATGTCAGCCAAACGTCATTGCTTCACACGTGCGTAGCTCTTTGCCTCAAATTTTATAACGAACTTACGGAGTGGCATTCTTTGCCGGAGTCTGTGTTCCTTGAAGGGTATTAACTTGGGTGTCTTCCAGGTCCTAGTGGATAGGTTGCTTATGGGTAGGCGTGCTCCATCGTAGGTCGCATCATCGATTACCAACAGTCGTCATAGCGGCCATTACGAATAGAAAGTGCAATAAAACCTATATGTTAAACTATTAAATTCAGTTAAACATCAGAAGGCCTAGCATTGTTGGCAAAAAGCTAACTATTTTATTATTAGAAGCAATTTATGAAGCTGTAGGAATACAAATATATAAGGTTCGCATTGTACTCGTACAAGCATACTATTTAAGTACTTACTGGCATGATGACTGTGTTCGTTAAAATGACATTTGGATTGTACCCAAATCGTTATTTTGGCCTTACTGTGGGTGTACCCTATTTATGTTCTGGCCACATACGCCAAAATATTATTTGCCATAAAATTGTGTGCGACTTTGTGCAAGGTTGCAGGTGTGGCTAATTGAAATACCTCTTCGATATATTGAGATATTGCTGTGAAAATAAGACTGTTTCCATGAAATATTTTTTACGTACCAACGTATATTTTATAAATATTTGTCATTGAGATATTATTTTGATTATCAGCATTGAAATACTTAAGTCAAAAAATAAATTAAATTACAATAAAATAATAAAATAAATGAATAAAAGAAGTCGCTACGTTAAGAACAAATATACCTATAAGTAGATAAAATCAATAGTCAAATTGGCATTTCCAATGAATAATTAATCTAAGTGTATCCAAAAACTTTATTTCAAATATATATTTAATAGTCTCGTGTCCCATTAAAATGATATATTACTAATAGTTCTAGGTCTATCCCCCGACATATTTTTTGCAAGCAAACAAGAATAATTGGCAAATCCTCATCAATAAATCTCTCCAAGACCGTCTACTCGTAATGGCGTTTAACCTAATTCTGTAAGATTTAATATAATTTATCTATGGTAGGTACTGTCACGACCTTCTTTTGTGTGACCTCAGTTCCCTTCCGCGACATTCTTTACTATTTTTATCTCAGTCTTATGAACATCTGCCACGTTGTTAGGGCACAATCGAACCAGTTCTCGGATTTAATTCTTGAGTCGTACATTGTTTAACGATTTTCGTTTTTTATAATTATAAATAAGATAAGGAAGTCACATTTTAGCTTATGTTACACTAGAATGTTATTTTACAACAGACAGGGTTCCTTCTACCTCAATTCCTTCCACACCAAAGGCCGGCTTTGCTGAAGTACTTGTAAAGCCTATGCGAAGTACATTACATGCGATCAACAGCATTGGGCAATATGTCTGCTCGTTTACCGCCCTGAAAAAATCATAAAAGTAACAAACCTGTCAAGTTGTTGAATGCAATGGGATCGCATTATATTATCGTATTTAATAAGATTTCGCTCTTCATGGAGGATTAAAGGTTTTCTCATTTTTTTATCTCCAGTAGTATTATTTTTATCACAATTTTTATTAATATTCTGACGACCTCTACTTCTTCACGGAACGTATCAACAAAAATAAT